TCACCTGACAAGATGTGTTGCTTTCTATAGAATATCTGATGAAGTATCAGCTCAGAGACTGATTAATCTTTTATTGTGTTTTTATTTTCATTATTGATGTAGCACTGCCACACTTTTGTTTTTGTTCTCAGGATATTCTGTGACCAAGAAAGTATAACAGCCCAAAATTTCTTTGGTGCTCCAAACACTCTGTAGTACACAATCATATACTCAGTCAAATATCTCAGAACCCTTTGACCCTTTACTATAGTTTTCTCTAACCTGTTCTGTGATAGAGTGCTGCCCCCTTGTGTTTGAAAAAGAACACAAGAGGTCTGTTGATTTGGAGTTTTTATGTTTAAAATATCCATAGAGCAAACTTTAAGGCCAAAGCAATCAAAACCAAATCAGTTAAATACATTGATAAATTAATGAAATGGCTTAGGTACATTTCTAGAATTTCTGTGGCATTTTCTCCCTTTTCCCAACACAAAAGAAATTTATGTATAGAACTCATCTTTGTGCAAAAAAACCCATTAATGTTGGGGATCATCAGAAGGAAAGGTGATGGAGATCCATGCTTTAAGAGAAAATGTAACACTGGTATTGCAAATACTACAAGAAAGCAATGCTGGTAAAAACGGTTAACCTCACGGTTTCATAAATGGTCTGGTCTGGTTCTTGATTACTTTACTTGAGAACTCAAAGCACTGTATACAACATGCGTCATTCACCCACTGACAAAGTACTTTTATCTACGTTAAGTGTTTACTACCTGCTGTCACTAGTGTGCACTCTATAAGCACAAAAGTACCAGAACACTTACACGAGCCGCTTCATGCCATCAGTCTCACACTGTCCCATAACCTCAAAAAGGAGACCACAGTAGTTTGAATCTACTTTGTGTTATGGGAATAAATAGGAAAAATAGACCAATCAGATTCCTATTGTGTGGCCACTTAGCTCTAATTCTTTTTTTTTAATATAGATTTTGCATCAGCTTGAGAATAAGGAAAATCTTTTTTTTCTGCATAACCAAATTCAGCTGACAAATGGCATTTGTTGGCTGTTGTAACATTACTAGATTACTTCCTTTTTTTGGAAACATGTGGCCCAACAGGCCACGTTGTGTTTTCATTTTAGGAACTCTTTAAAATTACAGTCAGCTGGCGAGAAAGCTGAGTGACAGCTTTCTTGAGAAATCTATTGAGAGAATGATAGCTATCAATAAGAAATCTAGGAAGGAGGAATAAAGTCAGTTTGGTAGCATAATGTATGTATATGAGAAACTATATCAAGGAGATCTGTCGTGGAAATCAGATAAAATTCAGAAAAAAGAAGTGGATGAGACACTTGAGAGGAAACAGCTTGAACTGTGACCTGACACCGAGGCATTTTTCACATTCAGCAGATGACATGACAGGAAAAACAAATTATTTATTCTTTTATGAGAAATTTTAATAACTCCTCCATTTAGCTTTCCCGCACGCTCATTTGTGGCCGTGCATATGATCATTGATTCAATGAAAAGGATTGACAGGTGGAGCATATCTGCATTTCACAGGCACTACATTATTGAGTGCTAAAGTACAGACTATTAAACCTATTGAGTGAATTACTGATGTTTCCCAAATCTGGGTGCTGAGATGCACATTTAGGAGAAGAGAGCTGAAAGCCTGGGAGCTAAATTCTCAATAAAGATTTAGGACTGTTCAGTTCTCCTCTTGAAAGGCTATAAAGCCATGTAGAGAATGATACTCGGGCAGTGAATCAGACATGCAGAGAGAGCTTAAAGATAGGCCACAGAAGCAGAGTTTTAATGAAGTCACAGTTCAAGGTGTTGGCCACATCCCCAGCCCACAGACACGGACAGCAGAGATAGAACATGAGGGGATGACGACACTACCCACATTTGCTATTTCACAAGCCTTCATTACAATAAGAATGTGTTTTCGACGGCTTGCCTGGTTAACTGATGGTGCGGTCATTCGCCCATCAAAGCTCAGCTTCTGCAGTAATCTCTTCAACACAACAGACAGATCTTTTGTACATAAAGTCACAGCTAGAAAGCTTCACTAAATTTACTACATTTTTGAAGAGAGGACATTACAAGTAGCTTTAAGCTATTACGGCTGCCTAAGCAGGGAGAAGAGAGCCTCCTTCATGAAGCTGAAAACTTGACATCCAACACGCCTCACTACCCGATCGATCCCTCTTCACATTACACACCTCTGCTACGTTTTACTGAATTCATGCACCCAGACGTTTTAGTTTGGGATGGTAAACCTGCTAAACCTGACCTCACAGTAACTTTAACCAACTTTATCTGGAAATGTAATTATTAACTTCATGGGCAATTGCTTCTCTGTGTCCACAGAGCGTGACTGTGTAAACAGATTCATGTCCCCACAACATGAGTACACACACACACACACACACACACAAAGCACACAGAAAAATAGTGAAAAAGCCATCCAACCACTGAGTCTGTAGAGCTGGTGTGATGGTCAGGTTACTGTATACAAAGTAGATCATTAACTTCAGTGACTCCTGAGGACCAGAACCAACAAGTTCACGTTAGACTGAAGCAGACACACACACAGAGCTAGCAGTCAGAGTTTAAAAAAAAGTCATGTGGCGGGCAGTCAATAATTAAATGGTATTTTATATTCGGTCATGGATCAGTGCAGATTATGCCCGGAGTTGTTTAGATGAATAATAAATGTAGAGTATTTTTGCAGAGCAAAGGAAAGGTCCAGCTCTCACTGCAGTCTCGTTCCCAGAATTTGACTTTGTTTGAAATGTATTAGTCAACATCCGAGCAGTTATCAAGGCCTAACTGTCTTTGATCCGGTTACTGACCTTTGACCCTTCACATTCAGAAAAACTCATCAGAATGAATATAGGAAACTGTTATGAAGCTTTTCAGATAAGATGCAAAAACACAACATATCCCTCGTTGAAAAAATATCTCCAAACAACATCAATAAAAATGTACTGAACTGAGATCAAATTAGCAGAAATGAGCTGAAGCAGACAGCAGGTGTCTACAGCTGCCTGCGCTGGCACCAGCACTCTACACAGAGGCTCAATCTGTTTGTTTGTTGTCCCACGATCTAAACATTCTGTTTAATCCTGTAAAGTTGAGCATTTTCAGTCTGATGTTGCTGCTTTACATAAGATACAGAAGGAAGTGCAATGAGTGCGTCAGCAATGCTTGAAAGTAATGTGAATAATGCTCTAAATGATGTAGGGGTGGGTGCAGAAGGTATGTACAGAATATTGTTTTAATGACTCACACATTTTGACCTTGCTGCCCTTTGACCTTTCAACAAAGAGCTTATCAGCTCCCACATTTGTTAGTGTGCTCTTCTTTCTGTGAATCCCTGATGGACAGGAATTAGAAACCAGTTTCAAACAACAATCAGCATCAGCGTGAAGATTTCAAAACCAAGTGAAGGACTGACGAATAGAGGAGTTTTTACTAATATATACTTTGTTACAAATTATTTTAGATCCTCCAATTTGATAAACATGTGAAGAAGATTTCAAGACTGATCCAAGTTAATTAGATTACACCCACTTCAGCAGCTCAGTTATTCGTTGATTCCACAATATTTCCTCATTTTTTATTTTGTACAACAGTTTGGTCACGAGCATCACCGTATATAACTAAGAATCTGACATCTTTATAAAATCAAGCCAAAGCCAGTTCTGCGGAGTCCTTATCATATTTTAAAGAAAATAATTTACTTCGTTTTAATTTATTTCTGTTTTCTTAATTTATTTTTCAAATGTATAAATATTCTTGCCCCAGATTATCTTTCTAGACACATTCAAGGGCAGGACAGTAATCTCATTACAAAGAGTGTAGTGAATGGCAACTGTGAAATCTAAATAAATTAAATCTAAAGTCTGTCAACCAGCACAATGGCTTATCATCCATGGAACGCACTTCCAACTGAAACCCAGTTGATAACATATATTAAATGTACATATAAACATCGAAGGCTGGTTAAAAATAACTCAGAGCTGCAGTCATTTTAATTCATTATGCTGTACTTTTCTAATTATTCATACTTTTGGAAATAATTATTTATTACACTTATTTCTATTACGGAGCCTTCGTTGTATAACTGAGAGGGACTGAGGGACCATCTTTCTTACACTACATTTATACTGTGTGTATATATTATATTTATTGTATATTATGTATATAATGTAAATGAATACTATGAATTTAGTTTTTTCATTGTGAATATAAAACCACAACATTGGACAAGGGTCAGAAATTAGAAATAGCCAAAAGCTCTATGTGCAGCACTTCTTCACACTGGAACTATGTTAAACTGTCGCTTTTATATAATAAATTGAATGATCAGCATCATCATGAAAGTTTCAAAATCAACTTAACAAATGAAGAAAGAAATATATGGGCTTCTTCTAATGCTTGTACTCCAAGGCCTCAAATGACAAAATGCAGCATTAGAAGAGTGCAGCTCAGTGCTTTTCTTCTTCCTCCCCTTTAATAAGTACAGCATTTCATAATAATGTAATATACTTTAGTACTTGTATGATATACTTCCTGGACAACTGAAAACGAGTATTACTCCCGTACAACAACGCAGCAGATCAGTTAAAGTTAGTGAGTTATGTTTTGTGACGTTTTGTACCCTGTTTATACAGTCAGGTTGGTGGTTATGCTGCATGTATTTATAGTTGCTGGGCTGATTGGCTGATGTGTTAATTTAAATACACAGAAATGTTTTGGGAGACTGGAGGTTTCTAAACAACCAAACAAGCTAAACGAGTTTAAGGCATTTCTCCTGTGGACACTTGGAGCTTTACAAAAGTGAAGTTACCTCAGTGCTCAGCTGCAGGCCGAACACTTGCGTTATAATTGAAGTGTGTGCTGGTCTGTCATAGTTGACGTTTCTCAGTTTGTGAATAGGGCCCGTCACAGAAAGCGGCAGCTGATTGGCTGGCCCGCAACCTCATTATCAGCCCCTGTCCAATCACTCTGCTGTGTGTGCATGTTATGTAAATGGCTCGCTGGAGTGTGAAGGGAGGAAATTAAAAGCGACGCTTTGCCTTCGGTCGCTCTTTCAAGCAAGCAGAGAAGCGCTGGGTCTGCAGGCAGCGGTAAGTGAAGCAGGATTTACTCTTAGTTTTTCAGACTCTTCAGACTCAGAGTGCACTCAGCTGATTGGCCTCTCGCCACTCACACGCATGTTAAAAACTGTGTAATAATAAAGTAGTACAGACGCTGCTGAGAGCTGCAGTTTGATTGCACGTACTGTAACAGTCTGCACAGCACTCTGTTTATTCTGATGAACGCATGTGTGCTCTTCACTTCAGCTGTCTGAAGTTGTCTCGCAAGTGTTCAACTCTTCTGCGCATTTGATTGGTCAACACCCGAGGCAATCCTCCATGCCCCGCCCTTTCAGCTCAAAGTCAATAAACTGTCAGAGTAGTGATTACTGAGTTGTACAATACTGTGCAGCGTAATGATCGAGTTGCACTGACACAAGTCTATATATGAACACAAACACGGACAAACTAGGCTGCCTGTAATAGTTACTGATAGGAATCCAGTTATAAAGTTACTACAACTTTGGATTCATTGACATTTCTTGTGTGTGCAATACTCTTTAGATGTCACAGAAAATAAGTAACGATACTAATGTGTAACATGCACTCAGCTGACAGTACAACAAGTGCAGACAGTACAACAACAGCTAAGACTAAAGCAGTGAAGTCATTTTTATTTATAGAGCATATTAAAAGCCATCAGGGTGTTCTTCATAGTACTTTTAGTCACTTAATATAGCAAACTAAACAACACAGTTACGATATCTAGAAATTGCATAAGACTATGTGAGAAATGCAAAAACATTATGAAAATCACAAATTGCTGCACTGGACTTTATGTGGGATAGACTGTTCTAGAGCCTTTGGTTTATAACTGAGAGGGACTGAGAAAGTGTAAGTAAGCCAAAACAGGAGTGGTGTGTTTTAATGTGTGTGTAAAGTCCAGCAGCTGCATGATGAAGCAGTGGTGGTTAGAAACAATGCCTCTGGTTTCTGTAGAGGCTTTAGTTTATCATGCTGTTGAACCATTCTACATCATATTGAAAAGTGTTTCCATTATTTTGGCCATCCTATTTATTTCACCAAGAGGAGGTTAAATAAAACAATGCACCTCGCTGTATGCAAACAGGTTCACAGAGGGACAAACTGAAGGCTAGAAATTGACTATGAACAAATCAGCACCTTCCTAATAAGTAAAACAAAAGAAAAAAACATGACTGAAATTCTAACATTAAATGGTCCACTCCAAACTGCTGTTGTATGATGGCAAAAATGTTTGTAGGAATCTGTTCAGTCCATCTCTAATGCAATGAATCCCATTCGATTTCATTTTTCTGCGTGCACATGTCTGCAACTCAAGAACACATAAAGGCGTCAGGATGAGGATTGCAGTGATTGGTCAGAGTCTGTTTGGCCAGGAAGTGTACAAGGAGCTAAGGAAGGATGGGCACACCATTGTAGGAGTCTTCACAATCCCTGACAAGGATGGCAAGGCAGATCCACTGGGTAAGAACTCACAACGTCAACATCATTTTAATGGGAATATTAATGGGAATACTGCCTTTCTCCTGTCACCGAAGCAATGCTGAAAGTGACTTTCCAAGCAAGCATTTTTTTGCACATCTGCTAGGAATAAACTGATGATGGTGTCAAATGAAACTGTGACTTGAAATCGGGCCACTGGTTTTATCTCTGCAGCTCGGTCATCAAACTTGCATTGTTGATTGCAGTGTGTTGTGTTTTCTTTATCAGTGAAAGTATCAAATGAATGCATTTTCATATCAGAGCAGTAAAATATCTGTAACTGATTTACATCACTGCAGAAGAATAAGGAACAACTGGAAATGAATTAGACTTTGCTTGACTGCATATACACACCAGTAAGGTTTGCTTACAAATGACTATACATGCTGTACATTATAATAAAAACAAAACATAACCACTAGCCCACATTTGGAAGTGCTCAGAATCGTGTCGTGATCAGATATTGTCCAGGTGTTACTACAGTCTGTGCAGAAATAAAGGACTGTCATAGACATCTGCTAATTAATGCTAAGTAAAATATTTAAAAAGAAATGCTAGAAATCCACTTACCAAAACTGAAGCACAAAATTCTTGGAAAGTTTTTACCACACAGAAGGCCACATTGTTTGTCAGATTATTCCATTAGAAAAACAAAACAAGAACAACACAAACATAGTTTAGTATCTTGAGAAATTATCAGGTGAGGTCACTATTTCAGGTGAGGTTGTGCAGTCATCCACAGGCAACACTTAACAAAACAGCCACTCCCTAACTAGCTGTCTGATTATCTCCCCAAAAAGGAATGGACTTTAATAGATCATTGGGAAACTTTCTGGGGAAAATCTGATCTTGTTGGGACACTGACCATCCCACTTTAGATGGAGCAGCTCTCATTTCAACAAACCTGGCCAAATTTATGAACCCCCCCAAAATATGACTATCCAGAGTTGGGGCCAGGGTGCAGAGTTTTACATGCCTCTCTGCAATTTCTTCTATACTGTCATTCCCACAAAACCCCATCCCTATAGAAATTGTTATGGCATGCGGCATAGCAATTTTATTTTTATTTTTTATATTTTTCACCTCTTCCTTTGTGTGGGTTATAATTCCAGATCCTTAATAACGACACAGACAGAATACACATTATATACAATGTAATACAGAAAGTTACCACCGCATGCTGGGCCCATAATCCAGAGGTCGATGGATTGAAGCCATATTCTGCTATTTGAACTCTATGTTGAAAGCCTATCAGATTTCCACTATTTGAACAATGTCACAGAAACACACAAGTTTTAGTCCAGTCAGCGGGCTGTTTACATTTTGGGATGGCCGTAGCTGAGGAGGGAACCTGGTTTCTCAAAACTGCACGCCAAAGTATCCGTGGGTAAGATACTGAATTGCAAATTTCTCTCCAGTGTTTTCACTGCAGTGTGAATGTTAGATAGAATGCACTCAGGCCCAGAGTACTTGAATGAATGGGTAAATGAGGCATATTGTCTAAAGTGTTCAAGTAGCAAAGCGCTGTATGAGTCCAGTGCATTTGTATAATATACACCTGTAAATTCCAGACTCTTCTCTGTGCTCCTTTACTCTGGCATTTTCCTGTATGCTTGCTTTTGGAAGCCGACCCATGTAAACATGTAAAGCCTTAGCAAATGGGAAAATTCTGACTTGTAAAATTTGACATCACAGGGGGTAGTTCTACATGTCAGAGTTTATATATATATTTATATATATATACATATTTATAATATATTTATTATGTCTGTATTTATAGAAATACAGACATAACTGCAGTACATGAAAAAGAAAACAGAACTGTTGCAGGATGTGCAGCTTTTCTCATTTATTGTGTTATTTTATCATTTATCAGCCACAGAAGCGGAGAAGGATGGCGTGCCTGTCTTTAAGTTCCCCCGCTGGCGACTCAAGGGCCAGGCTATTCAGGAGGTGGTGACTCAATACAAGGCTACAGGTGCGGAGCTCAACGTCCTGCCCTTCTGCTCCCAGTTCATTCCTATGGAGGTTATCGACCACCCAAGACATGGCTCCATCATCTACCACCCATCCCTACTGCCTCGCCACAGGGGAGCCTCTGCTATCAACTGGTAAGTGATGTTCATGAGATCAAGTTGAAGAGAAGCAAGACACAGTGACAGCTGTTTTATTTCACTTCCTGTATCGGTCTTCACAGGACACTGATCCACGGTGACAAAAAGGGCGGGTTTACAGTGTTCTGGGCTGATGACGGACTGGATACTGGTCCCATCCTGCTGCAGAGAGAGTGTGATGTTGAACCCAATGACACTGTCAACACCATCTACAAGAGATTTCTCTTCCCAGAGGGAGTAAAAGGCACAGTAAGTAAAGAAAGAAGGTGTGGTACAAAGACACTTTTATTGTAAATAAATTTCATACATTGGAAGGTGTGCAATATAATGTGTGGTAGCTGTGTTTAATGTGACTGCAACACTTCACCAAGGCCTTCTACCACAAAGATGATAGGATGCATTCTCCCAAACAACTTTGTTTTGATCCTCATCCTCACACTTACATCTTAACATGCTTTTATTTTACCTCTTAATAGCTACCTGGTCCCTGGTGGCTCATGTTAGCATTAGAGATTTTGTAATACTTAATTCTGCCACAGAGGCACTGCTATCTTGTGTTTTAAATATAAGTAAAGGCTTTAATGCAACACTGTCCATGCAAAATAATGACTAGTGCATCGTCATAAGACATATTTTGTGCATGCACTTCCTGATCTGAAAGGTGATGCTGATGCAAAAATTCATTGTTCCTCATTCTTTTTAATGGCCAGTACTTTGGAAACTCCGTGGCTGTAAAAAACATAAATCTATAGGTTATCGGCCCTTGGGTCTGTCGCTCCAGAACAGGGATGTGAAACTCATTTACATCAAGGCCCACACAGGAAAAGTGCAAATCGTCATATTTTCCAAAGCCGTTCAGGAGGCCAGATTGGAGTGTTTGCAGGACTGACTCTGATACCCGGGCCTTGTGTTTGACACCCCTGCTCTACAGCATAAAAGGAATTTAGACAAATTTTATTGAATTCAGTTTTTTAGATAGCACCAAATTACAACAACAGTCACCTTAAGGTCTTTTTATTACATTATAAAGTAAAAACACTACAATAATAGAGAGAAAACCAAGGAGACTACCCACTATTGGCAAACAATCTGCAAAAGTGGGAAGAAAAACTCCCTCCTGTTTTAACAGGACGAACCCTCCAGCAGAACCAGGAGGAGCGTCATCTGCCCTGACCTTTTGGGGTTGATGGCGCTTGTTTTCATAATCAGACTTCACTGAACAATAGGTGACATCATGGTGGCTATGTTCATCTTTTATATAGTGTGTATCTTGACCACGGTCACCATCCTGTCAGTTCCTTGGTTATGAAATGAACTGGTGATCATAAAGCTGTTTTTTATTTAAATGTGAAATCATTATTATGCTGTAGCTGCAGGACATACTTTGAATCAGTCTAGACATATTGCTTTCTCTTGCAATGGTGTGAAGTTAATACAGTTTGCTATGCTAAAGGTAAGCTAAAGATCGCCTTGAAGTGCTGGAGAAAACAAGCTGTAACAGAAATGAAGTTTGTTTTATTATATCTATAGAGTTAGTTATCTGTGTTTTATGTGACTGATCATTCTGCCTGTGTCCTGTGATTTGCCTGCTGCGAGTTTCCCAACATCGTAAATACTGTGATGACAAAGTTCGGAAAGATAGCTCATGCAATTTAAGATAGCGCAGCTTGAACTGCATTTTTCTGGTTCCAGGTGGAAGCTGTGAGGCTGATTGCAGAGGGGAAGGCCCCGAAGATCACACAGCCAGCGGAGGGAGCCACGTATGAGTGCATCCAAAAAAAGGACAATGCCAAGGTAAAACACAAGTGTAGCTACGCCACATTACATCCACAGACACAAACATGCAGAGTGTCGGTCACTGCTGTTCGTTCGTTCGTCGATTTACAAATATCATTAGTTATATATTATTTAGTTATAGTCATAATATTATTAGTTATATTATTATTATTATTATTATTATTTTATTTCATGGGATATTTAGTTAAGCTTAAAATTAAGGGTTTTTTTTTCTTATGCTGATAATAATGTGGTCTTGATACGTTTATAGCACATTTTACAAAATGCAGAAATGACTTTTTGTGATGCTTTGCTGTGAAAACTGCAGAAATTAATTCCATCATTTAAATGAGCAGTCTCTCCTGTTCTGTCAGTCTGACTTGAATTGACATCCTTCATCTCAGCGCTGCCGTCTTTATCTGTCTTCTGATTATATCTTTTGTGAATATATACACATATAAATCTGTGTGCTGCTATTCTTTCAACTGACCATGATGTAAAGAGGCTTATCTAGTTGTAAATAAGAAAGCGTTCTTTTGCGTCGTTAAATAAAGGTTAGATTACCATCCTGTGGTACAATTTGGTATTACATGCAAACACTTTGGATATAAAGTCACTATGATTATTACTTCTCATTCTCTTGATAGTTTTTTGTTAATTTGTAACTCAGATATCTACAGGTAATACCTTTAACTCAGTTATTGTTACTTAAAAGAATTCTCCTACATACTTTTAGAAATATCAGATCAGATTACCCAGACTCAGACCGACTCCCAAGGCAGTGGCAATGGATGCATCTCACAAGGTCACATGTACAATGAACCAGCAGTTCACTGTACATGTGGAGGGAAACATTTCAATTCAAACCTTTGCCTTTGAAAATGTGCGCTTTTTCTTGCTGCTGCAATACAAGGAACAAAGTACAGTTTCTGGATGTTACCTACATTGTAGTGATTTACACTTTCACCTAACACACAGTCCCACTTTGAGACAGGAAGGACATGCAAATCCCTTAAGAGGTTGCATCATGAAGGACATGTGGTGTAAGGATCCAGTAGATAGAATATGTAAAAGGTAAACGGACTGGTACTTACAGTGGTACACACACTCACATGGATGCATCAGTGCAACCCTAGGGTACTTTGACAGGCAGACTGGAGTGGCTGAGGAATCGACCCACCAACACGCTCAGTAGCAGACATCCCACTCCTCCTGAGCCGCTGTGGTGAAGCATTTAGATTTGAACTGGCAGTGATGACGGTTTGAATTTCTAACAGATTGACTGGAACCAGTCTGCTGAGGCTCTCCACAACTGGATCAGAGGAAACGACAAAGTGCCGGGAGCCTGGGCCGAGGTCGATGGACAGGTAACAGCTTCTTAATGCTTTCTGTCTGTATCCTGTACAGCCGACTAAATAAAAAATGTTTGACACAATACTTCTGAATTTGAACCGGATCAGAGCGACGGCTCACGCAGACATGCAGAATCAAAACATGATGAGCAACTGCGTTTGGACTGAGTCCCGTTTTACATCTCTCTCTGTAGAAAGTGACTTTCTATGGCTCCTCTTTGGTGGATAATGGGACCGCAGTTAATGGTCAACCCCTGGAAATCCCTGAAGCCAGCCAACCGGGTATCGTCACTAAATCTGGCCTGGTGCTGTTTGGCAATGACGGCAAGACTGTAAGTGAAATTATTAATCTCAGGAAGCTGTTCTAGATTTCACATTACAGATAAGTGCTGTACATATCTGAAATGATTGGCTCAGACATACAATGGCTCCATCACTGTGTCGATATACAGTAGCTACATCTTGTTACTGAATTAATTGAAGACCACCCTGACTGTGGTGGTGAAAACATCACTTGCAGATATTCGGGTGCTTTTCACTGGCAGGGACAGCAATTGTCAGAACAAAGCAAATACCTTCCTACTAGGCTTGACTTGTGTAGTAATACCAGAAGTATCACATTCAGTCCTTCAGCTATGAGGTGATTTGGTCTTGGAATGCAGCCCACAGCTCGTTATTCTGCATCCTTTCTTTCCACGGATGCTCAGACAAAAACTCTACACTCGTGTCACGACTGCAGAGAGAAGATTTTGAAACATTTACACTAGAAAAACCTGACAGAGCAAAGGAACAAAGAGATCACTGTGACACTGGATATATGACTTTTTTTAGCTTTATATTTTTATGTTCACATAACAGGATCATCGTGAAATAACTTTGGCAAAATATATACAGTATATAAATCTATTTTACAGTGCAACATCAGTAACACATGACGTACAGCATCATTTGATATTATGGTGCAATTTAGATTTAAAAACTATTTTTCGATCAGCTTGAACTTTGTCACTGTAGACATCTGTTTAATACTTGTGTTTGCCAAATATGTTAGTGTTTATTAGCGGCTCTGAACAGAACAGGAATGTAGAGTTTAGTAAGTAGTCCACAGTACCAGAAAAGCAGTAGAAAAACAGTCCTCCAGCATCCAGCTGTATCTACAGTATTGTGCATATGAAAAACGAATATTCAGCTGGCCAACGTGTGTTTTGTACGTAGTCTCTACAGGTGCTGGTTACTGAACTGTCCAAACCTGTATTTTCCAGTGTTTAAAGTCCTGCTCAGCACTGAAAGTAGTTAAGAATGCTTGGTTGAATTAAATGGGAATATTTTAAAAAGTACATTTTTAATCAGTATCTTTTTAGTGTCCGAGTCAGGAAGAAGTTAGCTTACCTCAGCAAAAACCCGGGATCGGTAATAAACTGTTCCCTCTATCATAACTTCATAGGCACTTGGGGAAATGTACTTGTATGCAAGTTAGATGGAAAAAAGTATTTTTGTCTTTTTCGTTTATGTTGTTTTTGTTATTATTTGTTCCCATCTTGTTTTGTTATAAATCAGTAATCTTTTAGCTGCTGGTTTGTCTTGTTACAACAACAAAGTGCTGCTTAAAAAACACTTTGTAATCGGAGTGTGACATTAAGCCACTGAAATCTCTGGGATATTGATGTTGTCAGCTAAGTAGCAGAAAGGGCTGTTAATCAGTTTCAGCTGAAATTACCAAGAGGTTCACAAGAGGAGCAACAATGAGACAATCCCCAAAACAGGTTTTACAGGTGGAGACCACTGACCCCGCCCCCCAATGGAACCAGTCTGTGAGCACTGTCAGAGCCACAAAATGGACTCCAGCATGTGAAAGTCTCAGACCAAATAATTGTCAACAGACTTCATGAGGGCCTCTAGTGAGCCCTGTGCTCACTGCCCGACGCTGTGGAGTGTGACTGGAACTTTCCATGGAATACCAGAACTGGCAGGTACACCACTGGGACTATTTGCTTTTCCCATATGAGAGCAGGTTCACCCTGAGCACATGTGACAGACGTGAAAGGGTCTGGAGAAGCCGTGGAGAACATTACGCTGCTTGTGACATTGTTCAGAATGACTGCATTGGTGGTGGTCTGCAGAAGCATATTCATGGATGGACACAGAGACCTCTACGGCTAACCAACATCACCCCGGCTGCCATTAAGTGTCGGAATAAAGTCTTTGGATCCACTGTCACGCCCTACACTGGTGCATAATTTGTAGTCAAACTAATGGTCTCTTGACTCCAGTCCAATAATTACTGCAGACACATGAGAGTTCATTTTCCATCCAACCTGCATATAAGTATACAACCCACAATTTCAAATTTAAAGCCAATTTCAGTATATTTACTATCTTATTGCAATCTCTGGACAACATTTGGAGTTGGCATGAGTGTTTGGATTCAGTCCCATTTATGGCAGTCTGGCTGCTTTGCTGATTTTGTTGTGTACATGTTGAAAATTTCAAAAATCAAGCTCAGTTCTGTTCTCAGATTTTCAACTACATGCGCCATCAGCGCTAACGCCTCTCAGGTGGGACTCTGACTTGTGGACAGGTTAATGCCGTGAACCTTTCTCATATGCCTCTTCATCAGCAGCCGCTCTGTAAACAGCTCATCGCAGTCCCCGCATTTGTACGGCCTCTCCTCTTTATGTTTGGCTAGAACGTGCTTCCTCAGAGTGGAACCCCTGTTGAAGGATTTGTCACAGATGTGGCAGCTGAAAGGTTTCTCCCCTGTGTGAGTCCTTATGTGTTCTGTCATGTGTCCTTTCAGCTTAAAACACTTGCCGCAGTAATGGCAGCTGTAGGGTCTCTCTCCTGTGTGCACTCTCATATGATTCTGCAGGTTGCTCTGGCAGGGGATGTGCTTGCCGCAGATGTGGCAGTCAAAGTTGCTCTTGCTCTCCTGTGGCTTGCTTTCATGTGTCTTGAGGTGCCATGTTAGCACAGTCTTTTTGGTGAAAATGTAGTTGCATATGTGGCAGCGGTACAGGGTGGTGCTAGTTTTCTCTTCCAGAAGGTTTGGTTCATCTGCAGATGTTTGCCTCGACTCTCTGCTCTCCTCTGCTGCTCTGCAGTCCTCTAACTGCTGCACTGTTTTGATGAGTTCTTTTGTCAAGGCATCTCCGTCATCGCTGTCTTCCATCGTTGGTTGCTCCTCGCCTCCATTGAGCCACAGTTCCTCCCTCTGCTCCTCTTTAACCTCGGAGGGTCCCGGCTCATCCTGCCACACACTCGAGCTCCACTCTTGCTGTTTAGGTGGAATGTCCTCAGTTGGCTGTTGTTTGGCATCTGCAAACAAAGGAGAGAGAAAAGCATTACACTTCAAGTATTGTGCTGAGATCTAAGCGTTACAATTGGCCTCACACTGGTCATGAGCTGCGTCCAAGCTTCAAGTAAAGGACAGCATTTGCTGAGAAGAGTGCACATACTAACATGTGTGGAGTATGTTATGACTTCAGTTTAGACAATAAAAGTCTTTGGTAAGTTTTTTTTGCTTTGGTTTGTTGTTTTTTTTTTAAGTGAAGTGAAATAGCCACCAGCTTAGACTGCAAACTGCCCTGTGTGATAAGTCACAACCATGACCTTATGCTGATAACTATATACAGGTCAATGAACAGTGGTTAAGGAACTTCCACAAAGCTGTAAGCTAACAGTAAACAAAACAGGCTGACAAAATGTCATGTGTTCTGACACAGTGAATGACACAGACCAAACCAGAGCCAAAGTTACTCTGGAAACACTGGGTTGCATCGTGTCTATCACGTAAAAATGGGCCAGTCTGCACCAAAACACCAGTTCTGTAAGCTTGTTCCATAAACCCCACTAACTCCATGAAGAATGCTAATTTTCCAAATCTACAATGTGATAAATTGACTGATTCTTAGTGCTTTTCTGCTCTCCCGAAGTCTCTACACATTATTACTCTGATGGATGCATCGGAGAGCAAGGTTAATATCTTGTCCAAGGATATGTGGCATGCAGAGTAGGAATCACCTTCCAAGCAGTAGATGACCTGCTCTAGCTCCTGAGCTCCAGCTCCAGTGTGGGGAAACATGGCTGAACTGTTCAACTATTTCAGGAGTGGCCGACTCCAGTAGATTGTAAGGTAGACCCTACAATGACATTTATAATAAAATAATATTTTCTTATACAAAATATATAACTATAGTTTGCCCTGTGCTTTGATGCAAAGTTTTTATGCTGCTGAAAACAAGATGGGTATAGTGTACACATTAATTAATATTAATGATAATTTGATGTCCACTTTAACAATGTTCAGGTCAGTGGCTCAGAGTTTTACTGGCCCATGTATATTTGTATTGGGTTGTTTGAAAAACAAAAAACAAATAAAAACCCCTTTGTTTTTAGAATTTTTATTAGTATTATTTATGCAGTTCAACAAAATATTTTAGATTATTTCACTTTCAATCTGAAAAATGTTGCAAAAACTTTGGAATAAATATGCACCCCACGCCCCCTTTAGACACACCCCTGTTCGGTTCCATGTAAACTAAGACAGCAGCCGTGAGCCTTCAACTATGGTGTTATTTTTGTGCCACTATTCAAAAAAAACTTTTGAGCGCACGTAAAAACAAATTGCAGGTGCAAGTGTTGCAAATTGAGGAGAAATTTATTTTGAGAGAAGAAAAGCTAAATTTGAGTGAATAAAATTCATTGCTGTGTGCAAAAAATGTATTTCAGTGTTTGCTATTATCCACACACACACACACACACACAATGGTAGTGATGTGCAGATTGATACTGAAATATCGCTTCCTCCGATACCAGTCATTTATGTTCTAGAATCGATACTCATATTAAAATATCGATATTTTAGTAATTTAGGGTAAATTTGTAGTTTATCATTAACAGGAACACAGTGGGAAGAACCTATTTCATTCGGATTGTCTACATTGGAAGGAACTACTTCCTCTTCTGCCTTTCATAGTCATGTGCAAAATAGGGCTTTATAAATGTGTTGCGGCCCCTTAGCGTGCGCACTCACAACAATGGCTGAGCATAATTGGAGTTATGTGCGGACGTATTTTACCTCCACAAACAGCCGAGACGTGGTTTGCATACATGTGGCAAGAAAGTGAGGTGTTGTGGCAACACCACAAATTTGTCAAACACCTCAGAGTAAATCATATCACAGAATATGACGAGTGTATGTTGAGGCGAACTGGACAGGGACAGGTGCTGCTAGGGCGAGACAGACGTCTCTCACGGAGTCCTTTAGTGCTGCAGGCAGGCAACGTGTTCAAATAGGCACAACTTCAGTTTTTTTATTTCTATATGATGAGCT